TTTAATCAAAGAATAAATTTTAAATATTTTACTATTCACGTATGTTATCTATTTATGTTTTTAATGCTTTTGAATAGTTGATATATTAAATATATGATGTTGGCATTACTCGATTTTTACAATGTATAAGAATAGGAGACCCCCCGCACCGCTTACCCTTCAAAAACCTCAACAAACGTCCTTAAAAAATGATTTCACAAAAATAAATTACACGTAACGCTTATAAATATTGTTTGTCGTTAAATTATTCCTACGTGTATGATTGTTGTCTACAGAATGGATTATAAACAAAATGGAAGGACGTATTCAAGGAATATTAATGATAGAGGAAACAATAGGAATGATTATAGAAAAAGAGAGAATACGAATTCTTCTTATAAGAATCAACAATCTGAAAAATTTATGATACAGATTGACACTGGGAAAGTAGGAAAATTAATTGGTAAAGGAGGAAGTAACATTAAAGATTTACAAGACAAAACAGGCACGAAGATTAAAGTATGTATTAATAGGATATTACATTTTTTCAAATTACTTGGAATAGATATAAAAACATCATATGTGTTATTATATTTTCAGTATATATTATAATGTGCAATAATGAATAATTCTTAATTACAGATTGAGAGATCAAATGGAAACGATACTACTGATGTAATCATAATTGGATCTGCAGAAGGACAGGAACGTGCCAAAAATTTAATAGAAGAATCATTAAATGATCCTCCTCCATATCAAAGCCAAAGATTAGAAAATGACCAGAAGGAGTGTAATAAACCAAAGATTGATTTTACCAATTTTGACTGGACTGCAGCTAGCAAAAAATGCGTAAGTTTTCATGAGCTTCCGTAAGACAAGCATGGTACGATTATATGTTTTCAATTAATTAGGATGAGTTTCAAAAGGAGAGATGGTCGAAATGTACTGCTATTGTTAAAAACTTTTACAAAGAACATCCTTCAGTGGCCAATATGACAAAAAAACAGGTTGCTCATATTAGGAAGACAAATAACAATATCGAAGTAAAATATATGTTTGATGAGAAGTGTGATGTCTCGGAGCAATTGAGGATACCTAATCCAATTGAAACGTTCGAACAAGCATTTGAGGTAAACGCAAGCGATAATATATATGTAGCAGTTGTAAAATGACGTTGCATTGATTAATATGAATTGTGCAGAGTTATCCCGAGATACTAGAAGAAATTAAAAAACAGGGTTTTGCTAAGCCAAGTCCAATACAATGTCAGGCTTGGCCTATTCTCCTCAGTGGTAAAGACCTTATTGGAATTGCACAGACTGGAACAGGTATGTTCGAAAATTATTATAAAATCATTTAATCTATAGAAGATACGTCATTCTGTTAATTCGTATAGGTAAAACATTGGCATTTTTGTTGCCTGCTTTAATCCACATTGAGGGTCAAGAAATACCGAGATCAGAAAGGAATGGTCCGAACGTTCTTGTTATGGCACCAACGAGAGAGTTGGCATTACAAATTGAAAGAGAAGTCAATAAGTATTCTTACCACGGTATAAAGTCGTAAGTGGTGTCAATACATGTATATTATATATATATTTATTTTGTATGGTATATTTCTAAAAATAATACATTAATAAAGGGTATGCATATACGGAGGCGGAAATAGAAAGGAACAGATAAATGTGGTAACGAAAGGCGTCGAAATCGTTATTGCAACGCCTGGTAGATTGAATGATCTAGTAGAAGCAAACATTTTAAATATTTCCACAATTACATATCTCGTGTTGGATGAAGCTGACCGTATGCTTGATATGGGTTTTGAGCCACAGATTAGAAAGACATTAATTGACATACGACCGGATCGACAAACAGTTATGACGAGGTTTACAATTGTTTCTTATTTTTAAGCTTTACATTGAGAAAAAGATTTGGTTTGCAATAGAAATGAAATTATATACGTTGAAATTTTAGTGCTACATGGCCTCAAGGAGTTAGGCGTTTAGCTCAATCTTACATGAAAAATCCGATCCAAGTCTTTGTTGGATCTCTCGACTTGGCGACTGTGCACACAGTCGTTCAAAAAATATTTATAATCGACGAAGAAGAAAAGACGAACATGGTTAATATTACAT